GTGGTCTTCGTATCCACCTACCTGCGCGGGCAAGCATGGGACTGGTTCGAACCGCACATCAGGGATTACTATGGCAAACCTCGTGAAGCATGGTCGCTGACCACCATCGACATCTTCACCCATTACAGCAACTTCCGCCAACACCTCGAGAATACATTTGGGGACATCGACGCGGCAAGAACGGCTGAACGGAAGCTGCAACGAATCCGTCAAACCCACAGTGCCTCGGCCTACTCCTCGGAGTTTCTACAGATCATCTCGTACCTGGATCTGCCCGACCGGGCATACATCCCGTACTACGAAGCCGGACTGAAATCCGACGTCAAGGATGAACTGGCGAGGATTGACCGACCCAACACCTTGGACCAACTCATCAAAGTCGCTGTCAAAATCGACAACCGCAACAGCGAACGACGACGTGAACGCCAGGAAATGGACCAGTGGAAGAAAGGAAAGTCGCACGGATTCACCCGATACCAATCAAACCGACGGGACCACCGACGGCCCGCCCGGGACGATGATCCATATGGACCAAAGCCTATGGAACTGGACGCCACTCGTGAAGAACAAGACGAGCGGAAGAAAAAGAATCTTTGCTTCAACTGCGGGGAACCAGGACACCTCGCAAGAAAGTGCAAGAAAAAGAAGTCGTACGACAAACGACCTCAGTTACGGGCAACACGCGAAGAACTGCGTGCGAACCAAGAAGAACGGTTTCCTGAAGCCGTTGAGAACCTGCTGGCAAGATGGACCACCCTGAGCCGAGAAGAGGTTAACCGCGGTCTGCGCACTGAAGGACACGCGAAGAACGAATCCCAAAGCAACCGGGATTGGAGCGACAGACTCCACGAGCGACTCTTGTCGGTGTGGACCAACCAAGAAGCCGAACAAGGCCTCCGCCAGTACGATAGCGCGGAAGAGATCGAATTTCCAGAAATAGATTTGGACACGATCGAGAGCCAAGGATGGACACAGCATGTGTCCTGGGAACGACAAAACGAATTCCCAGGAACAGTCCACGATTCCCAGGAGTGGGGCACGGGGATTCCGGGAGCTAACGGAGCGCTCCCAGGAACCGCCCGCGACCCAGGAACCGGATCCACGCTCCTAGGAACGGATCAAGTGATCCCAGAAACACCTATCGAAAGTCCTAGGAACTACCATCGCCATGAAGAGAGCGATGAAGAAGCCGACGCGCTTATGGCTAATCTCATGGACGAGATTCGGGCCGACCAACTGGACCAGCACCTCATCGCAGCGATCGAGGAGGACGGCGACGACCCAGCAGAATGCCCTTGTGAAGACTCCATTTGCGCGTGCAAAGGATATGCACGACACCCTGGACATGGCAAGATGGCCAGCATCATGTGCTACGACGAGACATGCACAGTCCACGGGCCAGGCAAATTGGATTATGGCATTGAACCCAGACCACTACGGTGGATGAAAAGGCCAAAATGGACACCTGCGTACCAAGGAGTTTGGTACAACGGACGACAAATCTACGATCACAAGGATCGGAAGATTGAACAGCTGGCAGCAACTACTGGATTCCACATCAAGCTACACGTGATACTTCCTATGGGGAAGGCCTGGACGCTCATCGATTCAGGAGCGACCAACAATTTCATGAACCCACGGTTCGTGACAAATTACAAGGTACCTGTGGAACCATTGGCACGGCCAATACCAGTTATCGGACTCGACGGAGCAGGACTCGCTCGAGGTATCCAGCACACCAGCATCGCGTTACCCATGTCTGTCTACGGGCACCCAGAATTGATCAAGTTCAATATCTTGGAGACGGGAGACTACGACATCGTATTGGGTATTCCATGGCTACGAAAGCACAACCCGAGCATCAATTGGCAAACGGAAAGAATCACGTTCAACCGATGCATGTGCAAGAAAGAATACGAAGAGTTCGAGACTCGACGAAAGGGACCGAGCAGACAGGCAGCCGGTACCCAGAGCGCTCAGCAGATCAAGACTGAGAAGGGCCCACAACGACCTCAAGGTGTGGTCGACAGGCAAACAAAGACGATTGCCCCAGATGCTACAGAACAATCTCCGGACATGACTGATGACGAGTTGTCACAGTATGTGGTTGTTAAGCATGAGACGCTGAACGCAACCAGCGAGGAACCACGATTACCAGACGAGTATCGTGAGTTTGAGGATGTATTCACGGCACCCGCCGAAGGAGTGTTACCTGAACATGGACCTTTCGACCACGAAATCAACACGATGGAAGGAACCGAACCTAAGTTCCAACCCATCTACCAGCTATCGGAGAAAGAGTCACAAACACTCAAGGAGTACATCACGGAGAACCTAAAGAAAGGTTACATCCGAGAGTCAAAGTCATCGGCAGGATATCCGATTATCTTTGTACCAAAGAAGGATGGGAAGCTCCGGTTATGTGTGGATTATCGACAACTAAATTCGATCACCATCAAGGACCGACACCCATTACCCTTGATCCAGGAACTGCAAGATCGATTGAGAACCGCCAAATGGTTCACCAAGTACGACATGCTGAACGCATACAATCGACTCAGGATCAAAGCAGGCCACGAATGGAAAACGGCATTCAGAACCAAGTTCGGACACTTCGAATATATGGTTATGCCTTTCGGCCTCACCAACGCACCCGCGTCATTCCAACGCTTTGTCTTTTATATATTCGGGGAATATATCGAAATCTTCGTCATTGTGTACCTAGACGACGTTTTGGTATTCTCCGACACCCTCGAGGAACACATTCAGCACAACAAGTTGGTGCTACAGAAGTTCCGAGAAGCCGAAGTCACCGTGAAACTCAGCAAATGCGAATTCCACGTACAAGAAACGACCTTTCTTGGATATCGCATCAGCCCAGGTGGACTAGGAATGGAGGAAGACAAAGTCAGGAGCATTAAGGAATGGCCAACACCTAAGAACGTCAAGGAAGTACAACGATTCCTTGGACTGGCGAACTACTATCGAAAAATGATCGATGGCTACGCCGGAGTCGCGTCAGGACTATACCGACTCACGAAGAAAGAGCAAAAGTTTGAATGGGACGAAGCAGCGGAGAAATCGTTCAAAGATCTCAAGGATCTGTTTGACACCAACACGATTCTCGCTACATTCAACTACGACGCACCCATTATCCTGGAAACCGACGCATCAGACTACGCTCTAGGGGCTAGGCTGACGCAACCAGGACCAGACGAGAAATACAGACCAGTTGCATTCTGGTCTAGAAAGATGATTCCCGCAGAGCTCAACTACGATGTGCACGACAAGGAACTATTGGCTATAGTGTCAGCGTTTCAGACTTGGAGAGCATATCTGGAAGGAGCGAAATACACTGTGACGGTCAAGAGCGACCACAAGAACCTCACCTTTTTCACGACAACGAAGGTTCTCACACGACGACAAGCGCGATGGGCTGAAACCCTTGCACAATACGATTTTAAAATCGAACACTGCAAAGGAACAGAAAACAGCCAAGCAGACGCACTTAGCAGAAGACCAGACTACGAGCTTGGTACCAAAACAGCCGAACCCGCTGTGTTAAGACAAAACGACGATGGCACCATCTCGTACAACAAACAAACCCTGGCAGCTACCAGCGAACTCAAGGACGATGAGTTTACGCAGCAAATTCGGGAAGCGACAGCAAAGGATCGTCTCATACAAGAGATCCAGGAAAACCCGAAGGACAACAGGATTATCGACAATGACAACGGACTAGTGTATCTCCACGGATTGATATATATTCCTACCGCACTACGAAGCGAAGTCATTCGCCGACATCACGACATGCCAACTCATGGGCATATGGGAGTTGAGAAAACCATGGAGCAAATCACGAGAAACTTCTACTTTCCGAATATGATGAGAAAGGTTCGCCACTACATCAAGGATTGCGACACCTGTCAACGAAACAAACCAGCACGGCACGCGCCGTATGGAGAGTTACAGCTATCGGAAGTACCATCCCAACCTTGGGAATGGATTACCATGGATTTCATCACCAAACTACCAGTATCGGATAATTGCGATATGATCATGGTTGTGGTTGATAGGCTCACAAAGTACGCCTGCATGATTCCAACCACAGAGACCATCGAAGCTAGCCAGATGGCAAGCCTGATCATTCAACACGTGTTCTCGAACCACGGGACACCCAGCAAAATCACATCCGACAGAGACAAATTGTTCACATCGAACATGTGGCAATCGTTTGCGGATCAAATGGGCATTGAGTTAAGACTCTCCACTGCCTACCACCCGCAAACCAACGGACAAACAGAAAGAGTGAACCAGACCATCAAGCAGTACTTGAGATGCCATGTGAATTACCAACAGGACGACTGGGCATCACTGCTACCAATGGCACAACTGGCGTACAACAACGCAGTACACTCTACGACAGGCGAAACACCATTCTTTGCGAATTATGGTTATCACCCACGGATCCTGGGAGATCCAATCGGCAAGAAGCCAGTGGCAGAATCATCCCGGATTCTGGCCAGTGGGCTCAGACAGCTGCACCTGCAGCTATCCAGAGACATTGAATTCCTTGGACTAAGGATGAAAATGTACTACGACCGCCAACACATGGAGGGACCTGACCTAAAGAAGGGGGAGAAGGTTTATCTTTTGCGCCGCAACATCAAAACCAAGCGACCCAGCAACAAATTGGACCATCTACGACTAGGGCCATTTGAGATCAAAGAGAAATTGGGACCAGTCAGTTATCGCTTGAAGTTACCGGAAAGCATGAAAAGACTCCATTCAGTGTTTCATATCTCGTTACTTGAACCAGCACCAGAAAACGCCAAAATAGCTACCAATGTGCAAATCGAGGAAGAAAGCGAAGACGAATATGAGGTCGAGGAAATCCTGGACAGACAACGAATTAGTGGGAAACCTCACTATTTGGTGAAATGGAAAGGTTACGATACCTCGGAAAATACATGGGAACCTATCGAGAACCTGAGGGACTGTCACCAGCTGGTACAACAGTATGACCGCCAGGCGAAGACAACCTCCCAGAACCACCACCAGACATCAAGAAAGCGTCTTGACCATCCCAGAAAGCAGAGGGGACCTGGTCAAATGACGACACCATTCGCATCAGACTAGCGTCTTCGGACGTAGCGGCCAATTGACGGATCTCCTGTTGCTCCGCCAGACGATCGAACTCGCGGAACTCGTCAGCGGTAGGAGGATCATCAGCGTTCAGTCGGTCGGACACCGCCTGGTCGTGATTCAACATACGACCACCACGATCTTTGAGGAATTTTTGATGCGTTTGAAGACGAAGCACCTTGGCCATCGCTTCGTTCATTTTTTGAGAATGTTGAAGGAATAATTTTTGTGCCTCCTCCAACTCTTGCGCCAATCGCTGTTCATCACGCTGCAGGTCATCCCACTCCTTGTCCGAATGGAAGCTCCGCTCACAGGTCTGACCCCGCCGGGCGCAAGTCGAACATTTCTTGCTGTCCGAGTACGGACTCATGATGCACACCTTCCCACGAACAAAACAATAATCACAAGGGGAATCGACGGGGACACCGGAACGTTCAATACGATCAGCAAGTTTGCAATTTTCAGCGTACTTATCACGTTTCGGTTTGGACGAATTCTGAGGATCGGAATCAGCCTTGCGTTTGGGCATGACGAGGATGCATTATTTTGAGAAAGAAAAACACACCACTCACCTGGGGGAGACCGCAGATTTATGAGTCTCGAGGACGAAACTCCTAGGAGGGGGAGGTGATGTTACGGACCAACCAGGCACCAACCGGTCAGGGGACCGCAACTTACTGATGGGCCACCGAGAGCCAACCGATTTATCTGTCAGATCACGTGATCATGCTCAGGGAGCATGAGCATGATTTACCCTGAGCGGACCCACCCGGCAGACTTTATCCCGTACATATGTGGCTATATATGATGGACAAAGTCTGCGCGACAAAAAGGCCACTTTCGGCCTTCCACTCGCCGTCTCATTGGATACCGCAATAACCAATGAAACGACCACCACGTGACTATGCAAGTAGTAGAAGGGTCGATAGTCAACAGGTAGAACAGTTCTACTGTTCTACTTTCTACTGTTCTACTTAGGAAGGACTCAGGATATATAAGGACACTCATTCATGTATCTAGTTTAGTTCTTCGTGTTCAATCATCCATTGTTACTTGTGTCTACTGTTCAGAACCTTTGGTGACTCGTACAACTTGATTATAACTTGACAACACTACGAATAGACCCGTACTCCGGTATAGGTTAGTTCGGCGCTCTACCTGGCATCGCTCCTCGATACCCTCAAAAGGACTTAGCCCGTATAAGGCCTGTTAGGCGACGGTACAGTTGAGAGACAGATCGTTGACGTTGGAAGCAAGGAAGCATTCAGGCAAGTATAACCCTAGTGAACTTCTAACATAGCGACGACCCGTTAGTCGTGCGTAACAATAAGGTACTCCACGTGATCTGATGACAGATACAGATATTGGTCAAAAGTATTTACCCACTACCCCACTTCAATTTTGACCCGGCAACCAACGCACCATTTTATTTTTCTTCCTACACCACCCCTACGCATCCGATTCTAATGAAAATAGGCCCAAATCGTAGGAAAAAGGCAGAATTAAGCCCTGAGCTAAGGTCAGCTATTATCTACGCTTATAATAATGGTATTTCGCAGTCAACCTAGCTGATAATTTTAGCTGCACCCGCAAGATTATTTACAATACGCTTAAGCGCTTCGAGGAGCATGAATCGACCCAGTCCCTTTCTCGAACCGGGCGTCCTTCGAAGCTAGACTCTCGAGCTTGCTCATTTCTCTATTTACAAGCGCGCCGGCACCCATTTTGGACCTATAAACAGCTTAGTGCTAAGGACGATTTCCCGGAATACTATTTCCGTCGTAGGCGGTAGCGGGAGGGGACTATAGACTCGGAGTCGGCTCGATATAGGTTCGCTAGCGATCCACGGGTATTTTTTATTACTTTAGGAGGTATCCATAATCTTAGGTAGTTAAAAGAGAAGAATTATAATTATAAAGTCAGGGGGGTTCTAGTGTTCGTTGGATGGAGCCCATCAACTAGGTAAGATAAAGATGCCTAAGAAGTAAGTGATGTAAAAGGAATATAGAGGCAAATTATAGGTACTCCTAGAAGGGCTATTTAATACAGAGGACAGCGTTACGGTGAGCTAACGCTTAGTGTCAACACTATATGATATTGATCTCCTATGATTACGAGAGTTCCGTGCATAATTCCTAGGGATTCCGTGACAATTGTGAAGGCATGCACTTAGGCAATATAACTAGGCTAAAAAGACCACTATGTCAGCCTAACGGCTGATAGGCTTGGGACCGATACATATACTACTAAGTACGCACAATTGTACGCGTGCGCACCCCAGACGCCACGCCGTGACAAAATAGGACCAAAACTTTTAGCTAAGACCAGAGTGGACCTAAGTACCACTGGAATATTTTTAGGTCATTCCTATTTTAATAATTTATTAAGATAAGTAACGTGTTCTTAGACCGATTTATTCTCCCTTTAGATAACTTAAACATTTTAGCTATATTTTCTTACAAGTTATACTAACTATTAAATACATATCTAGCTTAGATCCTTATTATCTTAAGTGGGGGTAAATTACCCTTTATGTACTACTACTTCCACAATCTATAAAGGCTTTCTAATAGTAGGATTATAGCTCTCTTAATGTATAGGAAGATTAGTATTTATAATATTTAATATTAGCTTCTTTTCCTGTAGTAAAGAGCGCTTTAAGGAATTCATCTACTAGTAAAGTTTCCTTACGTATACTAACGTGTCCTGTAAGCGAGCGCCGCAGTAACCCGAGCGGTGCAGTCTGAACACCATAGTAAATGTGATATTTTGCAGCGGTATAACTTAACAACCACTGATTGAGGTTGCTCAATACTTAATATATAGTGTCTTCTTTATATAAAGAAATAGATTATCTCCACGGTAATTTATTATTATGTCTATTTTATAGGATTACCAAAAACACATCCGTAATTTAGTTAAATTAGATAAATTTATCTATTAGGGCAACCGTACATTTTAAGTCAAAAAAAGATTAATGGTATACTTACTGTATTAGCTATTACAGACTTAGGCAGTAGTATAGAAGGCAGTAGTATAGAAGTGATAGGACGTGATGGTTATTGAGTTATAACGATACAACTATCACATTTACTATGGTGTCCTGACTGCGGCGCTCGCTTGAAGGATACGATGAGTCTAAAAGGGTTTTAAGAAGCATTAGTACTATGTCGATTTATAACAAAGAAGACTTCCTAATCGGCTTCTAGATTATAAGCCGAGGAATATTAGTAGTTATATCTATTAAAGGAATTAAGGTAAATAGAATCCTTTCCTATAAGACTCTTGCCTTAGCTAAGATCCAAGATTGCTATTTTATAAATATATTAGTCTGGAAATAAGGTTACAATAGAGGCTAAGCTTCTAGCACTATAAATAAGGCTCTTCTTTCCTTCGCTTATTGAATTCGTAATTTCGGTAATTATTAGGTTACATTTGGTTCTCATCTTTATATTAAACATGTATTCTTAAAAATCCGCTTTATACTATAGTTATGGAAGGATCACTGAGATATTATCAGTATACAATAAATCGTTAGAGATAATAAGTTTGTTTCTTATTAGAGCCAATACGTCTTTAAGACTGCCTTTGGGGCCTTCTCTTTCAACGCTTTCTATACGAAATATGCCCTTAAATTCTGTATTGCAAGTCTTCTAGATTCTCATTTTATATACTAATAACTTGGATCACCTTTAACTGCTATAATTCATACTAATTGGAAGTTAAGATTGTATTTACGCTTAAAATATAGGTATTATTTAAGGCAATTAACTTTTTTAGAGAACGAAATTCACTACCGAGCGGCCACCATCTCTAAAACACATAGTAAGCGCGATTGATTACAGCATGATATTCCAACAACGGTGGTTATATGGAGTTTTCCTAATAGCCTAATGCTCTTTGGGTGACATCTAGCTTCTCTAGGAAGCTTGGAAAACACTTGTGACTTCGTGGTTGCGTTAGATATATTTCTGGATTTGAGCAACGTACTTTTCAATACCATGATATGGTAGCATTTCTGTGTTCTCGAATTTCATATGTAGGGTTAAGAATCCTTATCAGTAGATATCTAATGAGAGCGAAATCACACAATAACGCGGTAGTTGAATATAAGGTTGTAAAATATTGCATTTACTATGTGTTTTGGAGATGGCCGCTCGGTGGTGGCGGCCACTAGTAGTGAAATCTGTTAGATAGGACAATTACATAAGTAATAATTTTATACTTTAATTCATATGCGAGCGGCCCACCCAAGCGAGCGGCCCAGCTCAAAACGCCATACTAAATGGGATAAATTACATCTTGATATCTCAACAACGGTGGCGTGTAAGAACTTCGCATTATAGCCTAATGCTTTTCATGTTATATTTAGCCTATTTAGGGACCTTGGAGAATTTCTTGGCCTTAGTGGTTAAGATATATATATTTCTGGGGCACAGCAACGTAATTTTCGATATCATGATATTGGAGTATATCAATTTCCTCGAAGCTGATATATAGCATTGAAAAGTCTTATCAATAGCTATCGGCAAGCAATAAGGTAAAATGAAAACGTGGTTGTTAAGATATCAAGTTGTAATTTATCCCATTTAGTATGGTGCTTTGAGCTGGGCCGCTCGCTTGGGTAGGCCGCTCGCATGTGAATTACGTTACTTTTATAAATTAATAGAGTGATAACGTAACATAAAAGTTTGATTATATTAAAGCACCCACTTAGATTATTATAAATTATCAGTATCAAAAGCAAAGATAGAACCTCCTGTTGGCGTCAAATATTAATAATAGTATTTATTTAGTTGTAACAGGTAGTTAATATATAAATATCTAGAAATCTAATAGTTAATATAAAGTCTTTGAAGATTTATATATGTGCTTTTATAATTCTTAATCGCCTTGGATAATAAGGGAAATAATTTTACTTATATCTTTATATTTTTTTCAATATATTAGAAACTATATATTACCGTAGCTGTCTTGGACACGCCTATATATATATTAACATCTGATTATGTAGCAATTACTATATAGAACGCGTTTAAGCCCTCCTCATGTAAAGAAAATAAGCTGAAATATTAGGGTTTATTATATAATTTAAGGGTTTTCTCGATTCTTTTATGCCTTTATTATTACTCTAATTAAAAGTAGTCTTGTTCTCCGCATTTCTGGGTTATCTATTAGTACAGTAACTAGTACCATTAGAAAATACTATTGCCCTAGTAACTATTATCCAGTAAACGTTACTTAATATCAATTTTTCAAAATAATGTTAATTTTGTTGTATCTTTGATAGCTCTACGGAAATAATTATTATCTTCTTCGTTTTCTCAGTAGGGGTTAGTCCTTTTTATTTCATTGTTTAAATTATTATATGATTCTCTTAAGGTGCCTTTCGAAATATAAAATTGATAAACCCTTGTTTATAGCTTACAATTGAGCCTTAAATGAAATAAACCTTTTTCTTTACCATTTTAGCAAAATAACTCTGTATCTGGTGGCTTGTTACGCGTCTTATTTTGTCTCTCCAAGCGT